CTCGTCGCCGGTGATCATCCTCCAGTTTTCTATAGTCCTCAGAGCCTATACTTCTTCAAGTTGGCATATCAACATCCCTATAGAACTGGTAAGGCTTCGCGATTCGGTCCAGGTTTCGGTTATAGACTCTCGCACTACGATTCCCCTTTGATATTCTCCACTAATTAGGAACTCATTACCGGCAAAAATCACATCAAGCGTTGGAGGACAGAGGGAAGCATAGCGGTGCGTGGCAAATACTATGGACCACATTTCGGTAAATTTACAATTATCTAGAGCCGGCCCAAATAAAAGGCCAAACTAGAACCTTACACAGGACTTCTTGACAACGGACTTGCCCTCGGTTCGTCCCCTACCATTCCCGGAATTCCATGTCCTTGAGATTCCACTGAAGATGGCACTCGATGCCGTCATCAATGGGATTATCTCTTTGCACTCAACGTCTTAGATTCGCAATACCCGGGCGCGCAGAAAAGAAGCAAACAAGTTCTCAAGAGGAACGAAAACTAAAAGAAATGATGGGCAGTGTGGAACAAATTAGAAATGAACCGAAAAAAAGAAGGAAAAATTCTCTTTGAAAGATATGGCAGGAAATACAAATCGTACAAATGAAGCATTAACCTCACTGACCTTGCTACCTTTTTGAGGCATTCCTAGAGATATTAATCGAATAACACGATCAAGACGCATGACTGCAATGCCACCAAAATTCTTGTTTGACGGTGGCGGCGACATTCCAACTGTCGGCCACCAACGTCCAATACCCTGAATAGAACCAGAATTGGTTCACCACGACGTAGCTATTCACCATTCAGGAAATCGAATGAAGACAAAAAAAAACTAACCGGTATCAATTTGTATTGCCACATAACTCCTTCTGGATCCTTTGGATCAAAGATAAACAGAATCGAGGTATTTTCAGGCCTGAAAAAACAACTAACCTCTACTTGACACCCCGAATGAGGCTCTTACATCAGTAGGTCATGACACAGCGACAAGAACCCTGTACCAGCCGAATCATACAATAGCACCATTTACTCCGCGCAAACCCGCGTTCATTCAGTGTTCACGCCCTGCGTTCATTCTATGTTCAAGCGCCACTTTTGGTTGGACATGATAGTCCAACCTGCAGACAAGGAGTATGTTTTACTTCCACAGCCCAAAAATACGTGAGGAATGTGCGACCAGCTTGCGATGAGGCCACGATCCCGCCCACAGGCCACGACAACGCCCAACTTCCATTTGAACGCTGATGACGGTGCGATGTTCTAGGTTTCTATTTCGAATGGTGGGTGCGAGGTGACAAGGAGATAGAGCCGGCATCAACAAGTGAGAGCTCATCCGACCACGCACTCACTTCATCTTATGCATGTGCACACACCTTCATGGGGTTTTACGGAGCATCTCGAGTGTTTTCCACTGTTCTCTTTTGTTCATTTACTTCTTTCAGATTAATTACTTTTCATTCTGCAATTGTAGAATTGAGCGCAAAAACTCACAGGACCTTTGGAACACGGACATGCCAAAGTGTTTACCAGGTAGCAGTTTCAAAAAAAAAAAAACGAATCAAAGCAATCGACTCATCATGTAATCTCCCGGACATATTTTCCCGTTGCCAGAAGACAGCCTTCCCGATAAAAACAACAAGTGATGAGGAGCCCACCATGAAACTGAAACACTTTTAATTTTGAAGGCAGTCGTCATATCAAGCAAAATAAAAAAGGATTACCTCGGTATCGGAGACGTCGCTAGATAGTGAAGAACTCTGCAAAAAGAAATATTGGGGCCATGCGCTTAGGGAGGGACCACTACTCACTGAGGCTAACCCTCGTCTTCTATACATGACATGCTCTACGGTCGATTGAACAAAGTCGGAACATGTCATCCCCTCTCCTAGACAACAATAGCGTCGCTTGTCGCGCTAGAACATGTTCTGGGTAAACCCCACTTAAAAGTGGTCCCTTCCGAGGCACACAGCGCCGAAATATCTGCTTGACAATGAGAGACAAAACCCATTACTTTTAAGAATGCTAGGCTAAGGACATGACGCTCTATTTCAGCTTGGACGAGAACCCCTACGTTCATACTTTGCGACAGCTCTAATCTTTAGAAATGAAATCTTTGGAAATGCTGGCGGACGCTCAAAACGATAGATCGATACCTACACTTTCCCAGTCGCTCAAAACGCTGACGCTCGAGACGCTGACGCAATATATAAACGCATCCTAAGGCAAGGCAGCCGAGTTCTGGGTTCGACACCCGCCGAAGCAAGGCGTCTTGCACATATCTCTTCAACCTTCTTGCGGCAATTACTGCTGCAACACACAACAGCTATTATAACGAATTAGGAACCACCCCTACTTCCGAGTCGACTTCAATAAATTACAGGGAATTATCAAAACATCTGCTCACTACTGTAATGAACAGCTTCAGCCAAACACACTCACGTCGGAAATCCTGGCAGTGGCGCATGGAACCAACGTTTCGTTCGCATATCGAGCACTGACACACGATAACTGACTTCACATGTTGAGACAACCCCTCCATGAACAATGAACAGATCGCCATGCATACAAGATGCATGACCTGCTAGATTTGGACCGTCGTTTGTTGTCGCTAACTGAAATTAGTTCGTATTTTAAGGGTTGAGTGACTGCGCACTATTGATAGTCAAATCCCTATTATCGCACCAAGCCTATTCAAACCTAGAAAACTTGAAAAGAAAGACTCATGTCAACGCAAACAAGAACTGAAAGAAGCTCTTCTCGAATGGAAAATAG